TACAACGTTTCGACAAGGTTTTGTCATCATCAGGTTGCTGTTGTATTAAAGTTTTTCTTCATTACCCATTCAAGCCGTCTCCAGCCATTATTAGTCTCAAAGTGGGTTCCTCGTCATCGAATTTGAATTCACGAATAACCTCACGTTTTACGTAACCACAGTAACTTAATAAACCGTGACCGAAATTAGAAAATTGGCTTATTGATGTTAAAACTTTACTGTTGTTAAATTGTATTTTAGGGACGGGGCGGCAAGGGTGTTATCTACGTGTGGGCTGCTGGTAACGGTGGATCAAGATCCGACAACTGTAACTGTGACGGCTACACTAGCTCCATCTATACTTTATCGATAGGTAGCGCAAGTCAGCAAGGCCAATTTCCGTGGTATGGTGAAAGGTGTGCTTCAACATTAGCTGTGACGTATTCAAGTGGAGCATACTCGGACCAGAAGATTGTAAGATCCTTGTGTGTTTGTGTCTAAAGGACGCGAACAATGAACCAGCAAGCTAACATCTAGGCCACACACGGCCTATATTTTATACGGTGAACATATGCAATATAAAGCAAACATGCCTTTACGGTAATAAAGCAATGATTGTTGTTGTGTGTGATATTAAGCACAAAGCTACACAAAGGGCTATCTGTGCTCTGCCCACCACGGGTATCGAAACCCGGTTTCTAGTGGTATAAGTCCGCCATAAAACAACGAACAAGTAAAACTGACGTAGAACATCAACTTAGAAAAATGTTTTTTCCTTAATTAATTTAACTGAAATGGTAAACAGTCTAAGGTTTTATACACACGTGCATAGATTATGCTACCTTTTCTCGGTCTATAGGGTTACCCACCTTTGTGCCCCGGTGGTCTCAGGGGCTAGCCACGAGTTAATTGTGGAAATATCATAGCAAGGCTTCATTGAAATTTATTGGTAGTAAACTCCAAATTAATACAGCAGTACATAACAAAAAGTATACTACTAAGCATCAAAGTTCTATCTTATAGTTAACTTTATCCTTTATCGAAAGTACCACGCGGTATGTCAGCAGGATAATCTCAATCTAAGGGATTCCCGCGATAAAATAAAAAAATGGCTCTCTCTCCCCTTATCAGCTTTCAAAGGTTGTCTTTAAATATTTCTAAACATGTTTATAAACTTAAACTTGGAAGATTAATTTGTAATATATTTCTCTAATTCAGCGGATTGTTAAGTTGTTGACTTATATGTTTAGATTTATGTGTTAATTCTACTTTGAATCATTTTTACTCCCAGTCTACGATTGATATTCACAATGGATGTACGACTGATCACACAGGGACATCAGCATCAGCGCCTCTAGCAGCTGGAATAATTGCTTTAGTACTTGAAGCCAAGTAAGGTTTACATTTAGATATCTGTCATAAAACATTGGAATTGAGACTATCATATTTTTAAACAATTTATGTAGTTTATAAAGAATTTTCAAGAATTAGAAGTGTGTATGATAATAGTATTTATATTTGTATTGTTTACGCCTTCCGAAACCATTGTCACAAACAACAATAAATTAATAATAATAACAACAATGCTGTAATGTCACAACGCGATAGGCTAGTTTAGTAGTACTGGTACATAGCTTACTTCTATTTACATTTAAGCCGTTAGATCCAATCCGATCCGTGGCAATAACTTAAGATCTTTCAAGCTTCAAAGAAAATTTGGGGCCTGAAAGACAACCCGGATTTCTCTTCACTCCACGTCGTCAGATGGCACCTACTATTTGAGTTGTTTTTCAGTTCATCCTGTATCAGCTACCCTCAGCTGTTATTCATATTTATTTTTCGGTCCAGAATAACTTTTAAGTAACATCGTCAACGAGTGAAGTACGGACATTTCCAACTTAACTAGCGACACATCGGCTAAACGGCTACATAAAATACCCCCAAAGTTCAGCTATAGCCATCACTAATTTAGAAAACAAATGACCAAACAGCTGAATTGACTGTCACAGATATAATGTCCCCCAGCTGGAAAGTGAGCCATGTGATAGAGCAATATCATGGTTTGACCCTTGTACCTTTCTATCCGCAGCCCGGCACGCTAACCGATAGGCCATGTTGAAGTTTATTCCACGAGTACTTATGGGACTCGTACAATTAATGGTACATTTATACAGAAGTGATTATATTAAACCGCCCTCATTATGTAGCTTTGTCCTTAAAAATATACAAGTTCTATTATATTCCAGCTTTAAATCAAACTCGTAAAAGATGGTTCTCCCGTTGACCTGCGGTAATCTCGAGAGCCTATAATACTGAAATTAAGGGTTCAATCCATGCGAAGAGCACTGCGTAGATCACCTTTTGTACGAATAAACTAAACATTCTTGGTGACTTATAAGACTCACTATATCGTTACAGTTTCTTTAAAATTCAACGTATATGATAAAAAGACAAAGTATTCATGATCAACCTGCACCCAACTAAACTGTATATTATAAATATTTAGTAAAAATCTCACCTGGCGGGACATGCAACATCTGGTGGTCTGGACGTCTGACTACGAGCCTGTAAAAAGCAATATTGGCTGGAAGAAAAACTCCGTTGGTCTGATGTTCAACAGTCGTTTTGGGTTTGGAGTAATGAACGCAGAGTCACTTGTCAAGGCTGCTGTGAACTGGAAGAATGTCCCTCAGAAGGCCATCTGTAGTTCGACCACTTATACGAGGTATGTTAAAATACAAAGGAACGAAACGCTGAATTCGCTACATTTAACTGTTTTACTCAGCCCCACACGCAGAAAGTTTGAAAGGGGAGTTCTAATTTGCGAGATCAAAAGCCAACAAAGCACGCTAACGATCCGGGGGCATGCCCTCCCCAGAAAATGTGTAAAAAATTAGGTGCTACGAGATTAAATCCGGTAGCAATTTTGCATGACATATAGCTTAAACAATTGCCTGGCTGTTCACAGAAAACTCACAAACATACAAAACTTGAAGTAGATGCGGTATAAACCATACAATCACAATATTTTGTATATCACAAAAATACGTGCGTGTTACTACAATAAGCGAACTCGTCAACTTCTATAAAGAAAACTGGAGAAACTGTCGTAGTTTCTGGAATACCGCGATAGAATTTGGGAGAAGACGAGATATTTTCCAGCTCGTTCAGTAATAAATCCTCAGAATAAAATACACACACCGATCCTCTAAATAAATGTTATCGAACACTTTTGAATAACTATGAGATTCATCACAGTAACACCTTTATTATCAATTTTATCAACTTGGTAGTGAGGAGGATGGGAGGGGGTTATAGCAGTTAATGTTCCACCCAAACCGTTGTTCTTGGTGAGTTAACTTTTACGTTTTTAATTTTTTATCGATCAACATTTTTTTTCTATTACTGTTTAAATTTCTTTCAGTTCTTTAATGGTTTGACATATTTTACAGTTCTTGTGTTTGTTCATTTTTCACGTTATGTTTTCAGTCTACCCGTAAGCATCGTTTCGAACCAGGCCGTTTCTGTTGCGTTCGTCACTGATGCCTGTAAAGACACCGACAACGACATTAACTACTTGGAGCACGTGGAAGTTACCGTCGATATTGAGTACAACAACCGTGGAGCTTTGGACATGTTCTTGTTCTCACCTTCAGGTAATTATATAACTCTTGTTCTCACCTTCGGGTAATTATATAACTCTTGTTCTCACCTTCGGGTAATTATACAACTCTTGTTCTCACCTTCGGGTAATTATACAACTCTTGTTCTCACCTTCGGGTAATTATACAACTCTTGTTCTCACCTTCAGGTAATTATATAATTCTTGTTCTCACCTTCAGGTAATTATATAACTATTGTTCTCACCTTCGGGTAATTATATAACTCTTGTTCTCACCTTCAGATAATTATACAATTCTTGTTCTCACCTTCAGGTAATTATATAACTCTTGTTCTCACCTTCAGGTAATTATATAACTCTTGTTTTCACCTTCGGGTAATTATATAACTCTTGTTCTCACCTTCAGGTAATTATACAACTCTTGTTCTCACCTTCAGGTAATTATACAACTCTTGTTCTCACCTTCGGGTAATTATACAACTCTTGTTCTCACCTTCGGGTAATTATACAACTCTTGTTCTCACCTTCGGGTAATTATATAACTCTTGTTCTCACCTTCGGGTAATTATATAACTCTTGTTCTCACCTTCGGGTAAATATAACTCTTGTTCTCACCTTCGGGTAATTATATAAATCTTGTTCTCACCTTCGGGTAATTATATAACTCTTGTTCTCACCTTCGGGTAATTATATAACTCTTGTTCTCACCTTGAAACTCAGTGTTTCAACAATACAAAAGTTGCTGGTCCTGAATTCTGGTGGGATGCTCTAACTCGGTTTTTCAACAATACAAAAGTTGCTGGTCGTGAATTCTGGTAAGATGCTCTAACTCAGTTTTTCAACAATACAAAAGTTGCTGGTCGTGAATTCTGGTAAGATGCTCTAACTCAGTTTTTCAACAATACAAAAGTTGCTGGTCGTGAATTCTGGTGGGATGCTCTAACTCGGTTTTTTAACAATACAAAAGTTGCTGGTCGTGAATTCTGGTAAGATGCTCTAACTCAGTGTTTCAACAATACAAAAGTTGCTGGTCGTGGTATTACGGATAGGAAGCCCTTTGTTATGGCAGGAAGTAGTAAGGATCCTACTTATAGATTCACTGACTTGTCTTCTTGAGAGATCTCGTTTACATACCTCACGTGGAGCGATGTTATTGTTTCTAAAAATCTTTAGAAGCTTATCTCGCTGTACAATAAGCATCTGCGGTGTGCCCACTGCAATAATCGAACCCATAATCTTAAGAGTTTTAAGTCCTCTTAGCGTGCCACTAAACCAGTGGAGGGAGGAAAACTCAATTTTGTCAAATCTTAATGCGATATAAAAGTTCCATTTTAAAATAAAAAAATCACTTATATTTTTGGTTGTTTATGCTGACTAAACCTTTTTAAATGGTTAAGACTTAAGCTAAACTTTATTACAAATTAATGTATATTTTAAAGAGTTAACAACGAAATCTATATGGGATTTGAAATTAGTATTGTTAATTATTAAACGGGCCTAACTCTTATATTTATCAGTAATAGTTTTATGTATTGAAAAGTTACTTTCTTTTTTACTTCCAAATCCGACCGGGTTAAGGTTCGGTCAGTATGTTACTATCAAGAAGACAAAAGGACACTTCATCACTCGGGTTCCGAAACTGGACTTTCCTCACTGTCCACTTATGGGGAGAAAACCCGAAAGGCAACTGGTCACTTCTTGTCCGTGACAAGGTTAAATATTTTTATTTTCTTTACTTTATGTACTTCATGAAATTTTCTTTAGAAGGAAATAAAAGCCAATTCCTGAGAACGAGATCTGAAAACGAAACCTAAACCCTATTTTCCTTTCCTAGAAATATGAACAATATTACCTTTTAAACGGTACTATAACCTGTTAAACTACCACCTATCTTTTAAACGATACTATTAACCTGTTAAACTACCACCTATCTTTTAAACGATACTATTAACCTGTTAAACTACCACCTATCTTTTAAATGGTATTATAACCTGTTAAACTACCACCTATCTTTTAAACGATACTATTAACCTGTTAAACTACCACCTATCTTTTAAACGATACTATTAACCTGTTAAACTACCACCTATCTTTTAAATGGTACTATAACCTGTTAAACTACCACCTATCTTTTAAACGGTACTATTAACCTGTTAAACTATTACCTATCTTTTAAACGGTACTATTAACCTGTTAAACTATTACCTATCTTTTAAACGGTACTATTAACCTGTTAAACTATCACCTATCTTTTAAACGGTACTATTAACCTGTTAAACTATCACCTATCTTTAAACGTACTATTAACCTGTTAAACTATCACCTATCTTTAACGTACTATTAACCTGTTAAACTACCACCTA